CGTGCACGAAGGTAAAGGTGACAGCTGCCAGTAATTAGAAAATAAATTGCATCGCTTCATGCAAGCATGTTTTAATGAGCATTTCGACTCGGTGATTGCGTAGAACTTAAATTGTGTTCGGTCAAAATGCTGAACATTTTCCATCCAAAAACGACATGTGCTGGAAGTGACCAGATTAAATTTATTTTTTTCCTTAATTGTATAACTGTTTATCCACCTACCTTAAGGAAGCATCATAATCGACCTTATGAACATCTTCATCATACACTTTCTTGTGACATGAAAGTCGGAAGATTTATCGGGAACCAGTTGGTTAGAGTCTTCAGTTCTATCGGCCTCTGAACTGATTCGCTGAAATACTAGACAGCGGTACCTCATATTGTCCCATCTGCCCATCAGTAATATTCCTTCACTGGCCTTCTTTTGTCTCCTCTCCCACGGCAGATCATCGTCTCCGGAAGCCTGGTCTACCTGGACGAGTCCGGGATCAAGATGACTCGCACTATCCAGCCGCGTAGCGCCAGCATCCGGCACTACGACGAACACTCGGGCAACTCGTACATCATCAGTGATCTTCTGCCCAACACGGTCTACAATATCAAAGTGAGCGCCCACTACAGCCGAGGAAAAGCGATAGAAACGCAATGGGTTGTCACCAATTGCCAGACACGAATGCTGCGTAAGTTTAGCGTTTTGCCCAGTTGTCCCATTTCTCGAGCTCTTCCCTCTTCCCCAGTTCAAAGGGGGGCATGTGTAGACCGTTCGGGGTTGGATTTCTTCTTCCACTTCGAGTGAAGGTGTTGGGTGAAGAGATTCGAAGGTCGGTTCCACCAGAAGACGAATAAGAAGGATTCCTCTTGACCAGTTGTCGATTGGCTTTACTGGAAGATTCATGCTGACGCTGTTTCCGAGGCAATCTCCTTCGATTCCGGCGGAAAGGTCCGTCATGTGATGGACATCATCAGAGCGAGGTAGCATCGTCACAACAAAATTAAAGCTGAATAGTCAAAAAAACTCTTCCAGTAAAGCCAATCGACAGCTGGTCAAGAGGAATCCTTCTTATTCGTCTTCTGGTGGAACCGACCTTCCAATCTCTTCACCCAACACCTTCACTCGAAATGGCAGTAAGCTCAACAATTATGAAACAAGAGATTCCTCGAAACTCAACTTTTCTTCGTATGGATTTCTTCTATTAGTTTTGAGTCTTGGCCCCGAGACTGACTGTCATGGTGGGACACATACAGAATTCAGTACGGATGCTCCAAGTCGCAAGACCGTGCACTGAAGTCTATATTGCACAAACCAGAATCACAATTGCTAAAATGCAATCTTCCGTCGGTTTTGGGTGAGGCCAAAAAAAATGTAGATTTTGAAACAAAGGTAACAGTACAACAAATGGGTTGAATAGAAACATTATAACTCATAAGAATGGGCATACAGATGTGTGATGGATGGATATGAAAATGAACTAACAATTCATTCTCTATTCCATTGAATTCATTCTTTTCCCAATATAACATGTGTTTTTCGTTTAAAAGTAGCTTTTCGATATTACCAGCATGTCATGTTCATGAGGGGTATTCCCCCTATTTCGTATGAAATTCAATTAGAAAACAAGGTCTACTTATATCATTGTGTGAAAATTCAACTACCCGCCCTTGACCGCCTTAGTTAAATAATGTATATATGATGTACTGGTAGTTTCTAAAAGTTTGTCATACAGTCGACTGGTATGCCATTACAGAATGTGAAATGGCAAAATGCCTGACCTTTCTTAAAATTCACACCTACTCCGTGATCGAAGGGCAATTGTGGCATTGTGGCACAGTGCTTAGTGTGTCTAGATCATACGCTACATTGGCATAGTTCGACTCCCGCTAGGGTGTTGAAAAAACCGATGCAGTCCACCCTGAGTGTGAATAACTTTTGGGAAAGCAAGACTATATGAAGTTCAATGTGGGAAAATTCAACTACCATCCCCTTTTTCCGCTTAAACGAAATAGGGTGAATGCACCACATATGCATAGCATGTAGTTACAGCTCTTCTGAGAAACGATTGAGAAGGATGTAACAGCAGACTTCAGAAACCTTGCACTCGTCAGACAATTTCACAACCATTCAATGTCACTTCAACATAGCCTCAGTTAGACTGTTCTGTTTTTGTTGTGAAGAGATTCGTGGATTATTCTCGTCGGAATCGGCCGTCGTCTTCCGGTCAGATAGACGCACAAGTCTCTTCATCTCGTCTTTTCACATGAAATGAACTTTTTCTCATCAGAGACCCAGCCATACTACTCTCAGCCCACGAGTACGGTGCCGTTTTGTTTGTAGAATTGAGCGAATACGAAATGAGCTGCTTCTCCTCATCCTCGTCCCGGCTCATTCATTCATCGTATTGCCACTAATCCTGTCTACGCTTCTGTCCACTTCCTTTGGCTGCTCTCAACTTCTTCACTCACTGGTTATGCCTTAAAGCGGTGTGAAGGATGTGCTCTTAGCGGCTTTACAATTATCAGCTACTTGCATCTGAATGTGATCCCGCAAAGTGACAGAATGGGTCAGCTGTGCTTTTATGGTGGGATTAATATGTTGTTGGCGTGCCGTCGTAAGGCCCTTTCTACACTCCCATCCCTCTTGCCCTCTTCGAGTGGGCATGATTCAGCGTCTACCATGTCAACTAACCGAGCCTGCAGATGCGTAGAGAGGCAGGCAGACGCCAAACCTCTAAAGGGTAGATTCGCACCTCCACTCAGCCGGACAGACGATGCCTTAAGTGGCCACTGCATGCTTAGAGCAAAAGTTTGCAGCTTCTCAAGTCCGGTCCAGACCAGCCGCTAAGTAGTTTGGCCTCTTAAGCCATCTCGACGGGACTCGAATCCAGAGGAATGAAGTAATTTTTTTCAATGAAATCCGGCACTTATGCGATTAATTAATATATTATTACTAGTATTTAATGGTAACAGTTTTTAAAAAACCATCATAATAGTTAGTTAATAGTTAATTAATGCATACATTATTATTATTTATTATTATTTAATAACTGGCTCCTACTAAGTATTGTTGTTGTTAGCAATTAGTTACTAACTAGTTAAATAAATAAAATTCAAATAGGAGTTGTATTCAATCTAGCTCACATGAGGTGATAGTTACGATTTCCTTAAATCATATGACTCGGCCTCACGAGCCCAAAAATTCAACTTGTTCGAGTTAAGGTTTCGAAATTAACTAAACTTGAATTTGTGTATCAAAGTTCGCATCTTAAGTATGCCATAAAAATG